CTTCATTAATTTTGATACATCTCATTTTTAAATAAATATAGATGTCTTTTAAAAGGGAGTAAACCAATTCATGGACAAAGAAACAGGGATAAAGTTATTTAAATCCTACAACCCTTAGAAATTTTTAATAACTCTTGAATATTTACTCATAGAAATCGTTATCCTCTTCACCCCCATTAAAATTATAATATTTCCTTGATTTACTGGTATTCTTTCCATGCTCATTAAGGTATTGAAAGTAATTTGTAAAGCCTATTTATAAGGAGAATCCATCCATTTACTTATCAAGTCGATCTCTTTTTAAGTGACTAGCTTCCACCCAGTATTAGAAGAATACTCATGATTAAGTAATGAAAATTTCAAGACTGTCCATGCATTTTTCTGTTTGTCTGTTTATTTCCTTAAAGTTTATTCTATGACAAAGGACACAGCTAAGGGTGATGGCTATTACCACATCCCCCTCTGCAGTGAGCCCACACTTCACCTTCCCTTCAGGTGGACTGAGCAGCTCTGCCTCCCAGTCCTCAGCAGCCACAGGTGTGCTTGTCTGTTCAGGAAACAATTTAAAACTGGAATCCAGCTTCTGAATTTGGAGTTAACTTACAAAGGCTTCTTAACCTCAAGTGTTAAAGAAAAATCTACACACATTTTATAAAAAATTCATACCTATGTTTTACCTTAAAGCCTTCTATAAATCCTGATCTTATTTTACCAGAAGACATGGGATAATGCCTGTGTAATTCTGTGTGTCTAGTATTAACATGAATGATTAAATATGGAATACTGTGACTTTTAAGTATACCTTATTTTGCTATGTAATCATAATGCCTTCTTTGCCATGTACTAAATTTCCTAATGTGCATCTAGTTCTAGATTTTTTAAAAATATAATCTATTCCACTAAAATTATAATGACTTAATAGTGTAGTTTATGATATATTTGGATTTATCTTATAGAAAGCATTCAATTCTTCCTCTTCCAATTCTCCTTTTCATAATTTCCCTTGTTTTTAAGTGGACTTTTTTTTTTTTTACTTCGCATTGTTCCATTAGATATCCACTGGAGTAGCTCAATGAAGACTGGTAGATATATAACTTAGAGTCTTCTTTTTTTGAATATTTATTCTTTAGTTGTAGGTGGACATAATACCTTTATTTAATTTTGTATGGTGCTGGGGATTGAACTCAGTGCCTCACACATGCTAGGCGAGCGCTTTTCCTCTGAGCCACAACCCCAGCCCCTTAGAGTCTTCTTATTTTTATTAGCATGATTTGAATTCCAATCTTATTCAACGTTTCAAATGTATCAAAAATATATTTCAATACAATGTCTATTTTTCATTTTTATTTATGAGAAGCACATTTTATCATATTTTAAGAGGTTGTTACTGAGTTTTTATTTTTAAATAATGTTATTAAATTTAATATTTCACATGTAATTGTCTTAAGATTTTGAGGCAGAGTGTTATGAGATTTGACAAGCAATGACTACAATTTTACTACCCTTTTTTCAATGTTATGACTTTATTTAAACTTCTTTTATAATTTGCAATATATTATTGAGCCATAGTGCTAGCAGGCTTCATTCCTTGATTTAATTTTAATGTTTTATATTTAATCAGAAGGTGATAGTTTTAAATCCATTAGAAATATCTTGAATGAACTACTTTTATAGTTCTCATTTTACCTAAATTTTTAAATAGAAATCAGTTATGAAGTTGACTCTGTAACTCCATTGTACATTCATTTCCTAACAATACCCTCTGAATCCAAGGATGCTTTCTTCACTCAAGAGTTTTTTGTGGTAATGTATAGAATTTCTCCTTGATAGACCCATCAAAGGATTCTTCCCTTAATGGAACCATCAAAGGATATAAATTATAAAATCACAGAAATGTATTTGATCTTTAGATGGATTCCTCTGGAAGAATAATACAGAATAGTGTGTACTTGGGGAAAAAGGAAAGCAAAGGTATCTTGCAATAAATTACCTTTTAGTCTTTATGATGAGAAAATATGAACAATTAAAGTAGAACAAAATAACAATGGATATTGAGATACTGAAGTGTATTTAAGAACTCTTTGAGGATAAAAAGTGTGCCACCTGAGGTGAAAAGTGAAGGAAGGATGACAGTTCCACACATATGCCTGTGTTGGATTTCTGGTAGAATGCTAACAACATTTATTAAGGCATTGAAGTAAGTTAGATTTGATTAGAGATGACATGAAGACTGGAGCTGGATATAGGGTAGATAAGACCAGGAGTTCAGTTTTAGCCAGTTAACTTGAAGGTGGAGGTGGATCTCCCATTTATTTATACCACAAACAGTATTGGACTTATGATTCTGGGGTTCAAGTATAAAGTTAGACTTAGAAGTCAATATGTATTTAGTTAGTCAATATCTAACTAAAGTGTATGTAGGTACTAACTAAAGAGCAATCCAACATTGAATTTTGGAAGAGACACTTGAGTCAAAACTCAAGTGAGTTATGTCAATTATTAAAAATATGAGCAGGGAAATTAAAAGTAAGATTTCATGTCACTCCATAAGAATGGCAGTCATCAAGAATAGAAGCAACAATATATGTTGTTAAGAATGTGTGGAAAAGGAACACTCATACATAGCTGGTGTGGTTGCAAATTTGTGCAACTACTATGAAAAGCAGTATGGAGATACCTCAGAAACCTTGGAATGGAAATTCCCTTTGACCTAGCTATGCCTTTCCTCAGTTTATACCCAAAGGACTTAAAATCAGCATATTACAGTGACACAGCCACATCAATGTTTATAGCAGCTCAATTCACAAGGTTAAAATATGGAACTAATTAAGTGTCCTTCAATAGATGAATGGATATGGAAAATGTGGTATATATACACATGGCATATTATGAAATGCCGACATTTGCAGGCAAATGGATAAAGGTGGAGAATATCATGCTAAAGGAAATAAGTCAATCCCAAAGAAGTGGAGGCCAAATGTTTTCTCTGGTATATAGATCCTAAATGCCAATGAAGGGGAGAGGGGCTAGAAAAAAATAGAGTACTTTGGTTTATGCAGAGGGGAGCAAAGAAACAGAATGTAGTGGAGGGTAGGAAAATATAGTAAAATAAATTGGACATTATTATCCCAAGTGTATATACCATTTCACTCTACATCATGTACAACCAGAAGAATGAGAAGTTATACTTCATTTACACATAATTAATGATGTATAAGTAATTACAACAAATAAAAAAATTAAAAAGCTAAAAAAAGGATAAGCAGGGGACAAATAATCAGAGTCTCATATAGACATGTTATAGAGAAGTGGAATTGTAAAGAACAATTAGGAGAGAAACATCATAGAAATATTAGGATTGCATTCACCTGCAATTAACAGAAAACTAGATTCATAGTGGAACAAACAAATTATATATTTCTTTACATTACATAATCTGGAGACACTGTTTTGTTCTTTTGACATGTCATACAATATGCCTTTTTGGTCCCAGGGTCTTTTTATTTCTTACTATTAATTTCATTTTTGTATTTTAGAGTTTATTGGTTCCTTCATCTTACATTAACAATAAATACAGGAAAAATACCCCTTTTGTACAATAATGTGTATTCTTTCACTTCAGGAAAGCCCTCCAGAGGACATATTGTTTTTATCTCATCCAACTGTCCTGGGTCCCAGACCCCATATTAGACAAACACAAGATTGAGGAAAATGGAATTAGAACAATAGATTTTGAAAACTAATGCACTGTTATCTTGATCTGCAGCAGAAGCATTTTGTCTAAAATTGGTAGATTTTGGCCCTCTACTGAAAAGTTGAAAGTTCTCTCATGACAGAATGTGTGAAATCTTTTCAGAATATCATGCAAAATAAGATTTAAAATCATATTGCATAGAATATTAAGTATTAGAAATTCTTTCCTTAAAATAGAAATCTGTAGATCCAGAATATTTCAATTGAGTGAAGGAAAGTGAAGATTAGCCCTAACATTGGAGTGAAAAGGAAATATTAGAAGGGGATACAAAATTATAGGATGGATTTTGTTAAAGAAGTTACTACATTCATAGTTTAACGAAAGTAAAGTGAAATGACATTTAATTAACAGATGTTTTGAAAAGATACGTTATATCTACTTGAAGGCACTGGCCTTGAAAACAGACTTCCATGGTTAGGTGCAGGATTACCATCTGCTGAAGTCTTGATGCAAGTCCTGATTCTGTCAATTCATCTCTCTGAAACTCAGTTTTTCATTTTTCAAATGGGTCTAACCAAGTACTAGAGGAATTTTGTGAAGTTTAAATCTGATAATATGCAAATCTAGTGTTTTACATGAAAGAGCATTTAGTAAATGCTGTCTATTGAAATTAGCACAATTTAATCATGATATTTTACATTCTCATAGGTAGAGAATAATGCTTTGTGTAAGTCCTGTATTCATTTTGATTAGTCATGGGTTACATATTCTGAATCATTTGATCTATGCACCTGGCCTCCATGGTGAGTTGTTCAAATAAAACAACACATATACAAAAGCAAAATGAACTAAACAGTTGTGGCCTAAAAACATTGAACAGTGAAGTAAGAAATTCAGCTAAATATATTTTTTTGAATTAGCACAAAATAATTAATGTGATAGTAGCTGAAAATATTGGCACCTGAGAACATGAGAGAACACTTTCAAAGTAGTGGCATAAAACCCATAGTAATGCTTTAGAGGAAAACAAATCAAAACAGAAAGCTTGTTCATGAAACAAAAAGAAGAGCAATCCGTCTGTGTTCATCTGATATATATGAAGCTCTTTCATTTGTTATATGGTATATTCCTATAAATTTTCTATTTCATTTGTTTTCTATCAGGTTCGATCATTTCTAACTCTCATTTCTATAAACCATAGAATAGACTAGCAGGACTTATGAGGAGCACACTTTATACCACTGAATCTGACTCTTCCTCACTTTTTATCCACAGATGTTTGGAAACAACTTTCCTGCCCAAGTCAATGGATGGAATGAATGATTCTGTGGTCTCTGAGTTTGTGTTGCTGGGACTCTCTGGTTCATGGGAAATTAAAGTTTTTCTCAAGCTGACATTCTCATTGCTGTACTTAGGGATCATACTGGGAAATCTCTTCATCGTCTTTTTGGTAATCACTGATTCTCACTTACATTCTCCTATGTACTTCCTGCTGGCCAACCTGTCCCTCAATGATGTGGGACTTTCCTCTACTACAGTTCCCAGGATGGTCACAGACCTGCTAAAGGAGAAGAAAGTAATTTCTTTCCAAAGCTGTATGGCACAGGTATGCTTTGTCCACATCATGGGAGGAACAGAAATGGTGCTGCTCATAGCCATGGCATTTGACAGGTATGCAGCCATCTGTAAGCCTCTCCACTACTTGAGCATTATGAGCCCGAAAAAATGCATTTTATTTGTAGTCATTAGCTGGGTAACTGGAACGATCCATTCTATTTCTCAATTTTCTCTGATTGTAAACTTGCCTTTTTGTGGTCCTAATACCATAGACAGCTTTTACTGTGACTTCCCCAGGGTCATACAACTTGCATGCTCAGATTCAGCCATGTTTGAGTTTCTTGGAACTGCCAACAGTGGATTCATGAGCCTGATCACCTTCTTGCTGCTCCTCCTTTCCTATGTCTTCATTTTGGTCACTGTCTGGAAAAGTTCCTCTGGGGACTTGTCCAAGGCTCTTGGCACATTGTCAGCTCACATCACTGTGGTGGTTCTCTATTTCACTCCGTGTATATTTATCTATATGTGGCCTTTCCCAGAATCATCAGTTGATAAATACATGTTTATAGTTGACTTTGCTATCACCCCTGCCTTGAATCCTATCATATATACATTAAGAAACAAAGATATAAAATTAGCAACTGAAAGACTGATTAATCAGCATCATTCTGACAGATTCTCCTGACTAGTCCGTTGTTGAGAGCTCAGGAACTCATTTTACCTGTGTGATGGACTCCTCTCCTTAGGCATCTGGTACTTAATGTGCTCAAATGATATTGGCATGTACCTTGCTGACCTGCTCCTATCTATAGTAGGATTATGCCTACTCCTCCTCTACAGAATTTACTCCCTGCTTTCTGCTAACATCAGAAATATGTCCAATGTAATATGGTTTTCTTTAGCAATGTGTATAAACAAGGTTGCATGATTTACCTTGTGATCACTTTACCATAAGAAAGTTATAATATCGTCTCCTCTATGTCCCATATTTTCTAAGTAACTGCAAACTTAAATTGTTTTATCTCTCTCCTTTTTTTAAAAGAAAAATAATGTAGCCATCCTAACAATTGTAAAGTGTTTTTATTTTTTTATTATGGTTCTGAGTTACATTTCCTGAGCCATACAGTGTATATATTTGACCTAGATCATATAGTAATTACCAAGTTTCTTTGAATAGTTTATCATTTCTGTTTTAAAATTATAGCATGATTGCTGGGCACAGTGGAGCACATTGTAATCCCAGGTACTTGGGTTATTGAGATATGAGGATCCCAAGGAACAAGCCAGCCTGGGCAAATTAAGGAGACCCTATTTCAAACTATACCCATGAATTATTATCAAAAGTTAAATGAATGTATAATGTGTAAATATGCAAATAAAGGAAATTAAAAATTCAGCATGTAAAAACGACATAATTGTGACAACATTGATGACACTGGAGGTCATTATGCTATAGGAAATAAACCTGAATTAGAAAGAAAACTGATGTATGATTTTTTTATGTGTAAATCTTACCAAAAAAGTTCAACATAAGGCTGGGTATATAGTTCAGTTGATAGAGTTTTTGCCATGCATGCACAAGGCCCTAGGTTCAATCCCCAGCACCCTCCCCCACAAAAATTCAACATATGGGAACAGAGGAGAAATGGGATTGCCAAAATAGAGTTGAAAAGGAAATAGGTACAATTAGGTCAAATTTTTAAAAGTAATGTTAGAATTAATAAATCAACAAAAGCCACGAACAACATAGTTTATAATTTGGTATTGTATGCTGAAAATTTGCTGGGAATATTTAAATGCTCCCAACACGCAAACACACACGCATAAACACCCACGGAGTTTTTATGTGCAATGATGGATAATAATAATTAGTTTGAACATAGAAAACATTTTGCTACCAATACGGATATCAAAATATCATGCTGACAACCTTATGTAGATACAATCAGAGTGAATTTCAAAACTAAAACAAAAAGGCAAAAATAATAGGAAAAAAGATCAGAGTTCTGGTTGCCTGAGTTGGGATGTGGGGCTTGGTTAACAATGACGTACCTCAGGAATATCTGAGATTTAATGGGACTATTGTATATTTGTTTTTTTAATGTATTTAAAAATTTGTTCTAATTAGTTATACATGGTAGTAGAAAGCTTTTTGACATGTCATACATGAATGGAATATAACTTCTCATTCTTCTGGTTGTACATGATGTAGAATCATACTGGTCATGTTATAATATATGTACATATGGTAGTAATGTCTGATTCATTTTACTATATTTTTTACCCCCATATCCCTCCCTTCCCTTCACTCTCTTCTGCCTGATACAAAGTACATCTATTCTTCCATAGCAACCCCCCTTCCCATTGTGAATTAGCATGCACATATCAGACAAAACATTCAGCTTTTGGTTCTTTGGGATTGGCTTATTTTGCTTAGCATGATATTCTCTACCTTCATCCATTTACCTGAAAATGCCATAATTTTATTCTTGTTTAAGGCTGAGTGATATTCCATGTGTATATATACCACATTTTCTTTATCCATTCATCTGTTGAAGGTCATCTGTGTTAGGTCCATTATTGAACTATTGTGAATTGAGCTGCTATAAACATTGTTGTGGGTGTGTCACTGTAGTATGCTGATTTTAAGTCCTTTGGGTATAAAGTAAGTAGTGGGATACCTGTGTCGAATGGTGGTTCTATTCCAAGTTTTCTGAGGTATCTCCATCTCTATGGCCATAGCACCCTGAACGCGCCTGATCTTGCCTGAGGCATCTCCATACTTCTTTCCACAGTGGTTGCACCAATTTGCAGGCCCAACAACAGTGTCTGAGTGTACATTTTCCCACACATTCTTGCCAACACTTATTGTTCCTTGTATTCTTGATAACTGCATTTTACTGGAAAGAGAAGAATCTTAGAGATGTTGGATTTGCATTATTGTAATTGCTAAAGATATTGTACATTTTTCATATTTTTTATTTTATTTAGAGACAGGGTCGCACTGAGTTGCTTTGAGTTGCTTAGTACCTCACTTTCACTTTCATATATTTCTTGATCCATTACATTTCTTCTTCTGTGAAGTGTCTGCTCAGTTTCTTAGCGCATTTATTGATGGGGTTATTTGATTTTTTGGTGTTAAGATTTTTTGAGTTCTTTATATGTCCTGGAGATTAATGCTGTATCTGAGGTGCCTGTGGTAAATATTTTCTCTCATCCTGTAAGCTCTCTCTTCATGTTATTGAATGGTTCCTTTGCTGAGAAGAAGCTGTTTAATTTGAATACATCCCATTTATTGATTCTTGATTTTGTTTCTTGTGCTTAAAGAGTCTTGTTAAGGAGGTCAGATTCTAAGCCAACATGATGAAGATTTGGGCCTGCTTTTTCTTCTATTAGGCACAGTGTCTCTGTTCTAGTGCTTAAGCCTTTGATCCACGTTGAGTTGAATTTTTGTGTAGGGCGAGAGATAGGGGCTTAATTTCATTTTGCTGTATATGGATTTTCAGTTTTCACAGCACCAGTTGTTGAAGAGGCTCTTTTCTCCTCTGAATGTTTTTGGCACCTTTGTCTAGTATGAGAAACTGTATTTATGTGGGTTTGTTTCTGTGTATTATATTCTGTACCAGGAATCTACATGTCTGTTTTGGTGCTAATACTATGCTGTTTTCATTACTCTGGCCTGTAGATCAGTTTAATTTTTTTCTTGTGGGGGTGTACCAGAGGAATTGTGTACCAGAAATTGAACTCAGGGGCACTCAGGGGCACCGAGCAAATCCCCAGTCCTATTTTGTGTTTTATTTAGAGACAGGGTCTCACTGAGTTGCTTAGCATTTCACTTTCACTGAGGATGGCTGGCTTTGATCTCATGAGCCTCCTGCCTCAGCTTCCAGAGCCACTGTTATTACAGGCATGTACCACCACTATCATCTGTAGTATAGTTTAATGTCTGGTATTGTGATGCTAACTGCTTCACTCTTCTTGCTAAGGATTGCATTGGCTCTTTTGGGTCTTGTTTTTCCAAATGAATTTAATGACTACCTTTTCTAGCTCTCTGAAGAATATCATTGGTATTTTAATTGGAATCACATTGAGTCTATATAGCGCTTTGGTTAGTAAGGCCATTTTGATAGTATTAATTCTGCCTATTTAAGAGCATGGGAGATCATTTTATCTTCTAAGGTCTTGTTCAATTTCTTGTTGTAGTGTTCAGTAATTTTTACTGTATAAGTCTTTCACCTGTTTTCTTAGATCAACTTAAAGTTATTTATGTATTTATTTATTTATTTTGAGGCTATTGTGAATAAGGTGGTTTTTCTCATTTCTCTTTCAATGGATTCATCACTGATGTATAGAAATGTGTTTGACTGATGGTATTGATCTTATGTGTTACTACTTTGCTGAATTCATTTATTAGTTCTAGAATTTTTTGGTGGACTTGTTTGGATCTTCTAAATTTTACAATCATGTCATCAGCAAATAGTGATAGTTTTTGTTCCTTATTCATATCCCTTTATTTTTTTTTCTTTTGTCTAATTTCTTTGGCTAGAGTTTCAAGGATAATGTTGAATAAAAGTGGTGAAAGATGGTATGCTTGTCTTGTTCTGGTTTTTCGAGTGAATGGCTTCAATTTTTCTCCATTTAGAATTATTGTGGTCTTGGTTTTAGCATATATAGCTTTTACAATGCTGAGGTATGATCTTAGTTTGCCTACTTTTTTCTAGTATTTTGAACATGAAGGGGTGCTGTATTTTGTCAAATACCTTTTCTACACCTTTTGGGGTAATCATAATTCTTTTTATTTATGTCTGTTGACATGATGGATTATGTTTTTGATTTCTGTATGTAGAAACAACCTTACATTTCTAGAATGAAGCCCCCTTGATTGTGATGCACTATCTCTTTAATATGTTTTTGTATGTGATTTGCCAGAGTTTATTGAGAATTTTTGCATGTGTGTTCATCAGGATATGGGCCATAGTTTTCTTTCCTTAAATTGTCTTTGTCTGGTTTTGGTGTCAGGGTGATAGCAGTCTCATGGAAGGAGTTCCAAATGGTTCCCACCTTTTATTTATATATATATAGACTGGAAGGGAGACTGGAAGCTAAGGATCCCCAAGGGGGCATGAAAGCAAAAGTCTCTCCACATGAATGCATTGAGTAGTATCGGTGTTAGTTCTTCTTTGAAGGTAGAACTTGAGTGAGAATCTGTCTGGTCCTGGCCTTTTCTTGGTTGGTAGGCTTTTGATGGCATCATCCATTTAATTATTTAAAACTGATGCATTTAAATTGCACATACCCTTTTGCTTCAGATTGGGTGGTTCATGTGTCTATAGAAATTTGTTGATGTACTCAAGATTTTCTATTTTATTGGAGTATAAATATTCACAATAATTTTTTATTTTCTTCTGTATTTCAGTAGTGTACATTTGATATTTCTGTTTTATCACAAATTTTACTAATTTTTGAGTTTTCACTTTGTTTCTCTTAGTTAGCATGGCTAAGGGTTTATCAATTTTTTAAAAATTTTTTTCAGAGAGTCAATTTTTTGTTTTGTCAGTGTTTTAATTGTTTGTTTTGTTTCAAGTTCATTAATTTCAGATGTGATTTTAATTATTTCCTTTCTTCTACTGCTTTTGGTTTTGATTTGTTCTTCTTTTGTTAGGACTTTGATATGTAATATTAGGT